TTTGATTATGCCGACCTGTAAAGATAAGGGGCTCCAAATAAATCATTCACCTGCAGTCAACCACAACTTATAAAAAAAAATTCATGAATTATAAACATTATCATCATGATAAAGATTAAAAAAAAATCTAATTGATAAATCATCTTCTTATTAACTATTTCATAAATCATCTTACGAAATATTCCATGAATTATATAAATTTTATTAAAAACTTTACAATTACATATTGTTGACACTAATTAAAGCAAAGAATACAAAAATCTTATCAAATGTGACCTAGTATTTTGCAGGCAATCTTAAGCAAAATACGATAGATCCAACGAATAGGAAACAAATATCCAAAACAATCTTCCGGAAGATATAGTAGGATGACACAACATTTCTTTGTGACATTTTTGAGTTTGAAGCGCTTCACTGCTTTTACACAATTCGGAATTGTTTTTACGTCGGCCAAACAAGATGTAGGATTAGGTAATAAGCCGTTCTCTGATTGAGGTGCTAGTGCAGACGATGGAGGACCAGCACTATCATTTACTTTCTCATTACCCTTTGTTTGTATAGATATTGATAGTACTACTATCAAAGCTAACACGATCGTCACCCACATTCTTTGCATGATTCGCTTGTTGTTTAGTGTTTGTATAACTTTGTGCTTATATCAACAAAAAAAAAAAATTTGTCACTTTGTATTTATAATTCTTTTATGTTTTTTTTTGGGTAGGAAATCTGATATTGTTTAATCATTACATTTAGTACATGCATATAATATTTATCCCTTATTCATATATATATCTTACTGTTCTGAGAAAGAGTGAAAGAAATCTTTGACCAAAAATATTTAAAGAATTTTGAAAATTATACAAAACTGCTTACTCAAATATTTATTGATTTGTAAATCCATATAGGATTTGAAAATCTTTATTAATTATGAAATGAAGACATACGGATTTTGAATTAATATTTGTTTACCCATGGATTTGAATCCTTCTATTTTCCTCTTTCAAATCCATTCAAATCCATTTAAAACATAATTTGGATTCTCAAAAACCAAAAACCAATGACTAAACGAATAACATAGGATTTTAACTGGTATTTATAAATCATAGAACGAATAGCATATAATTTTAATTAGGATTTTAAAATCAATAATTGAATAACAAATGATTTTTGTTTGGATTTTCAATTCCTTATAAATCTATGAACCAATAAACCCTCCTTAATATACGGGAAGTCAATTCTTTTTCCTTAACTACAATAACTAAATTTAATAACACGCAAATATTATTATTCAATCCTAACTATACCTCAACTAAATAACCTTTCATTTACTATATGGATTAATTCATTCATTATAAACATGAAAAAAAAAATTAGAATAATATTTTCATCTTAGAATTAATTTTTTTTATTTGATTTCATCTATAAGTTAAACAGTTCAGTATATTTTCTTAACTTACCATTTATCACATTTCATATATCAGAGAATGTAATGTGAAAAAGTAAGAATTGTGCACAATTTTGTAACACCACATTTCATATTTTCTTTTTGAGAAAGTCCTTAAAAATACACCAGTTAGTTATTTAGGTATCCCAGTAAAGTGCATAAACGTTTTTGATGCCAAAGAAAATACATGAACTAATTTTGCCTTTCGTTATAATACAATTTTTAAAAGATTACTCATATAAAACCGAGACGAAAAGTAACATATTTAAATAAAATAAAATATAAAATTAATCCAAGAAAACGAATTAAAAATCTTAACATCTTCAGAAATTCTTAAATAACTCTATGAGATTCCTAAAGTATCTCTTTAAAATTCTTAAACAATTCTTAAAAAGTTTACAATATTATGTTAAAATTCTTTAAAAAATTAATGAAAAATATTTAGAATTTTCTGTAAAAATTCAAAAAATAAAATGTCAATATTTTCATCTTGATACAATGATAGAGAATTTGTTTAGTACATCTCTTACTTAGTTATAATTGACAGATTATTTTGTTTCCATCATTCCATGTATTTCACAAAGGAACCTAGGATAAGATATCTCCACCACTCAGCATGCTTGTGAAACTAGAATAACTATTAGATAGAAATTACGAGGGATAAAGAAGAGCATAATAATAATTAGTCGGTTCAATGGTACATAAAAATTGATGAGAAACCTGCGAATCAATTTGAGGCGGATAAATAGACAAATCAGACACCAACCAGTTCATGTTTTTTTTAATAAATATATGCCTTGTACGAGTTCAACCCTAGTTTTTAGAAGGCATAATAATCAGTTTATTTTCACACCATTTGTTCTATGTATACATCATTAATACCTCTCACTAATAGTCATATTGAACCCTTAAAAAAACAAAAAAACTAGTCATATTGCATCCAAAAGTTTCGATAAAAATAATTTTTTATTATTAATAAGGATAATATGGGCCACATGTCATTGAGTCAGTAAAGATAATATGGACCATAGGCCATTGAGTTGTATATGGACTTAAGTAGTCTACAAATACATAATTGTTGCATGTCAAGCTTTAAAACTAACATCGTATAGCCATAGTTGTTGGACCAAGAACAATTTTTGAGAAATAACAAAAGATTGTATTTCATAAATGATGAAATGTTGTAAATATTGTATCTGAATAATATAGTACAAAGTATCGACATCGATCGGTTGAAGCGAATGAAACAAAAAATTTATTTAATATAACCTAGTGCTTTGCAGGCAACCGTCAGGACAGTATGATAGATCCAGCGCATAGCGAATAAACGACCGAAACAATCGTTCGGAAGACTGAGTAGGATGATACAACAGTTTTTTGTGACCCTTTTGAATTGGAAATGTTTCACTGCATTTGTACAGTTCGAAATTTTAGTTAGGTCGTTTAAACAAAGTATAGGCTTAGGCAATACTCCATTCTCTGATTGAGGTGCTAGTACCAACGATGGAGCACGGGCAAAATCATTTACTTTCTCATTTCCATGTGTTTGTATAGATATTGATAGTACCATTATCAAAGCTAATATGATCGTCGCCCACATTCTTTGCATGTTTCCACTTGTTGTTTAGTGTTTGTATAGCTATGAGCTTATCTATAAAAAAAAAACATTTCTTTTGGTATTTATAACTCTTGGATGGTTGATTATTTTGGTATGAAATCTATATTGTTTATTCATTACATTTTAGTACATCCACATAATATTTGTCCATTTCTTATCTTTTAGAGAAATATTGAAAAAAAATAAACTATACAAATTCACTTACTCAAAATTTTGATTAGTTTGCAAAAATTATCATCATTAATTAAAACAACTAAAACTGATAATACAGAAATCAATTATTCAAACCTAATTAGAAATTAACTTAATTCCCTTTCACTTAATATAAGGATCCATACAAATTAAAACAAAAACAAAACAAAACATACATAACTGGGAAATGTATATCATATTTAAACTCAATTTATTTTATTATTGTATTCCATCAATAATGTAAAAACTATAATATATTTTCTAAATGTACCATTTGTAAATTCTATATATCAGAGAGTGTAAGATCACATTTTCGTATTTTCCTATTCAAAAATTGTATTTTAAATCTTCTAAAGTTACTAAAATAAATACATCTTTTGTATAGTAATTCTTTTTTATTTTATATTTTATTTCACCCTAATTATTGTCTTATATATTTGAGAAATTTCAAAAATATCCGTGTTACAATACCTCCTTTTCAAAAATGCCTTTAAATACTTCCCATTTTCAATTATACCTCTTTTATAAGGTTTTAAATAAAGCCTGGGCGTTCGGTTCTTCGGTTCCATTCGCTTCGGTTCTTTCGGTTTTCGGTTCTTCAGTTCTAACCCCTTATGATCCATAAGAGAACCAAAAGAGTTTTGGTTTGGTTCGATTCCGGTTATTTTACCTAAAATACTCAAAAAACGAAATACTCAAAAAAAGAACCGAAACATCCTAATATCTTAAACTTTTTTGACAAAATTGTAATAGACCAAAATATATTAAGCTAAAATATTAAAAAATTAACAAACATCTATTGGGTTAGAGGTTGGGATAAAATGTATTGGGCTTAGATGTAGGTTTGTAGAGGAATGACCACACATTTTCGGTTCCATTCGAGTACTCATGAATATTCGGTTCGATTCGGTTATTATCCATATTCAGTGGATAGAGTGACTGAGATCCATTCGGATGGATATTTTGTGATTTGATGATATCCATAACCGAACCGGACTGGAATATAAAAAATATGTTTCTTGTTATATTATCAGTTTACAACATTAGCTGGTGATGTTTGTTTGATACTCCTTTTTAACTCTGTTTTTTTTTGGTCATTAAAATACAACAAAAATAAGTTGCCTGTCCCCAATAGAAAAGAAAAGAAACTACAAATTTCTTTGGTGTCAATTCTCAGTTCTAACGCACGACTTCTCTGAGCCCTAGCTTCCGGCAAATCCTTTCTTCGCTTTTCTTCATGTCCTTTGCTTCATTTCGAATCGAATTCAATTTTAAATGTAAGATTTTCATTCTTATTCATATATGAGTTTTTGTTAGATTTATTCCATTGTTGAATCTCCTGTCGCCTTTAAAACTTGATATCGAAATTAGGGTTTTTGCCTCTAGAGACAATTGGGTTTGTGATTTATTGGGTTTATTCGAATTGCCATTCTTGGGTTTCTTAAAGTCTTCGTCTTTTTTATGTTTCTCATCGGTTCAAATTTACGATTTTTGTGAGGGTTTTGGATACAAATAACATTTCTATGTGAATTGGTCATATGGATTGTGTAAAGTTTGTCCCTTTCCTCGAAAAATTTGATCTTTTACCTCAATTTGTGATCTTTAATGTGTTTCGATTCTTGTTTGCTGACTTTTGTTACATTACCCTTTTTTTACAGAAGCTTGAAGTTTATCTTGACTTTATTGGTGGATGTTGAAGCTATCTTATCTTATAGTATAAAGTGGAGTTTCGACATGTTGCGTTTCAGTTGTAGTGGTTTTGATATCTCAAGTTGTTTTATTCATCTTGCTGAATGGCATCCTTTGGAATAACGAAGCTTATCGGGCTTTAAAGCCCCTCTTTTTGCAGAGTAAGATTTTGATTTGGTGTTGTTTTGATCTTTAGGGAAGTAGATTTGGTACTTTTGAGTCAGGTTTTTGATTATTGGTTCAATGTGTCTTTACAGGTTTTGTTATTGTTAGCGTGTGGTCCACTTGAGAATTCATAATTTTTGGAGTAGATAATGTTTCGCGATAGTTTTTCATTTGTCCAAGCGATGAGTTGCTTCGGATGTTTTGGTGGCTCTGAGAGATCAAGACAGTCACCAAATCCATATGATGATGATACATATTCCAATGATGGTGATGTAACAAGTAATGCGGGAGGAGAAGATGAAGAAGAAGAAGAGGAAGTAGAGGAGCAGAGCCGTTCCAAACGATCTGAAGAAATTTTGAAATCTAAATTACAAAATGGACTAATCTGCAGGCAGTTTCCAGTGAAGGAAACTAATAAACTTATACGTGGAGAGGTATGTGACTTCTTGTGCTCATGTTTAATGTGGTTTGTCGAGTGGTATTCTTATACCAGTTTGTTTCTTATTTGATTTCCAGGATGAAGATGGAAACAAGACAATAAATGAGTTTGTTCGAGAGCGTAAAATTGGATCTGGTAGTTATGGGAAAGTGGTAAGTGTGAAATTAAATTTCAATGTTACATTGGTCTTTTAGTCGCTCTTGAGCACATCTTAAAAAGGGTTTATATATTCCATAACGTTGTTGTTTGTATGTATAACAGGTTCTATATCGAAGCACTGTCGATGACAAGCACTATGCTATTAAGGTATGCTCTTCTTTTTATTTCCATGGAACCACTTGAAAGCTTATTTTGTTTACCTGGTCTTCTATGGCACTATTCATTGGAAATTGGATCACCATAGGACAGATTATATAAATATTTCTTAAGCTGATCACATAATGGGATTAAACTTTCTGGACATGTGGTGATTATATTTTTGGATTCCCAGGCTTTTCACAAGTCATATTTATTAAAGCTACGGGTTGCACCTTCAGAAACTGCGATGGGGGATGTTCTTCGTGAGGTATCCTGTTACCGAAAGACTTGTGTAATGGGTTTCATTTCCGAAAACTTACGATGTTTTTGTATCTCATCGTTGTAGGTTAAGATTATGAAAACCCTGGAGCATCCTAATATTGTTAATCTCATTGAGGTGATTGACGACCCTGAGTTTGATGATTTTTACATGGGTATTTCTTTCCCTTTTATATGTATATCCTTACCTCAAGTCTTTCTCTTTGGTGAATTTTATGTCATCTGATACTGTAATGTTTCTTGTCTAGTTCTCGAATATGTTGATGGAAAATGGGCCTATGATGATTTTGGGCCACCTGGTGCTCTCGGAGAAATTACTGCTAGAAAGTACTTGCGCGATGTAGTTGCTGGCCTCATGTACCTTCATGCTCATGTATGATCTGCACTATCTAATACTTCTTCATCCACGCTGAAGTTTATGTGATAGATGCTCATGATTTTCTCTTTGTATTTTGAATGAAACAGAATGTAATTCATGGGGACATCAAACCTGACAATTTACTGGTTACTAGTACCGGGAGAGTGAAAATAGGAGATTTCAGTGTCAGTCAAGTATTCAAGGTACTGATAATACCATATCCAGTGTTGTTTTTATTCTCCATTGTTTTCTTTAATATGTAATTTCAGCTGATAAAACATGATACATTTGATGCAGGATGATGATGATCAACTCCGTAGATCACCCGGCACTCCTGTCTTCACTGCCCCAGAATGTTGTTTAGGTATAACATACAGTGGAAGATCTGCAGACACGTGGGCAGTGGGAGTTACTTTGTATTGTATGATATTAGGACAATACCCGTTTCTGGGTGATACACTTCAAGATACTTATGACAAGGTTCCGCCTCTCTCGTTCCACTATTTTTGTGTTTTCTTGACACATCTCTCTAAACACAATTTGAATAACGCAGTCGGCTCATGTTTAATCTTTTACCAATATTGCAGATTGTTCACAACCCGTTGATAATCCCGGATGGACTGAATCCTCATCTCAGGGACTTGATCGAAGGTCTCCTTTGCAAAGGTGAGTTCTTATCAATTGTTTTGTAAAAGCAGAATGAATCTTTATGATAAAGATATCGCCTTTTGTGTGTCACGTGGCTCACGCTATACACTTGTGGCAGATCCAAACCAGAGGATGACGTTGAAAGCTGTGGCGGAGCACCCATGGGTCACTGGAGAAGACGGAGCTATTTCGGAATACTTTTGTTGGTGCAAACGCAAAGCTGAAGAAGAGGAAGAACCTAATGGGATCGAAACCGTAGCTGAAAGCTAAGACCAGTATACTTGAACATAGCAATCGTTGCATGTTGGCGGTTAGAAGCGCTTGCGTTTTAAGTTGTTATAACTCTTTTAGGCATGTTTTGAGACTCTTTGATTGTCCTTTTATCCTCTTTGTTTCTTCAACTTTCTGTTTTTGTTTTCCGATATATATATTGGTTACATGTTTTGGATCATTGTATCTACTGTCTACTTGCATTGTTGTTATAAAAAAATGATGTTTATTTTAACTTTTTGGTAAACTTTAAGAAAAATTGAGACATTTCAGTCAAACTTTTCCCTTCGTCAATGAGATTAAGCATGTGAGGCACATTCGGGTCGGCTTTTAGTGCCGGTCACGTTATCAATGTTTTTGTAATAATTTTGAGCATAGAAGATTAGATTAAAATGAAAAATGAAATTAAGAAATTATTATTCGTGTAATAAATATTTTAAGGTTTATAAGTATATTTAAATAAAAAATCATGTACATCTTATACTATTATTTGGGGAGTACACTTTATAAGATACCCTTAACTAACCTTTCCTTTTGTAAGAATTTACTTAAGAATGTCATTACAAAAATCTTCTTTTAGAACAAATTTCATTCAATTTATTAAGGATAAACAAGTAAAATACTAATTTATTTCATTTAATTAATTTAATTAAATTATAAAACGAAAATCTGTTATTATTTTTTTTTTAAATGACCAATCAAAATGAACATAGAAGATTTGATATCTAACTTACCATATTAATTTGTTATTAATCATTAAACTTCACCTCTCATCTTAATATAATTATATTAATATAAAACAAATAAATCATCATATCATCTACATAATAAAAAAAAAGTAATTTTTTTTCTGCATATGCCAAGATTTGAATTTTTAAAAACGCATATAAATTGTTCAATCTATAAAAGAAACAATTAAACGGGTCAAAAATTCAGACTTGAGTAATATATTTCTTTTACACAAAAATAAAGTCAACAAAAATTCCGACTGAGCAACGGGTCAGAATTTGAATATTTATATTCGATTTCATACATTTATTTTTTTGAAATGTATAATTTTATATACTACAATAAAAATTTAAATATTTTAATTTGCAACATTTAAAATAAGTTTTACTTGATATTTTTAGAGAATATCATCAATACTTAATAGTTCAAAAAGTTAAAAATTACAAATACTCTAATTTGATTATTTTTAAAAATATTTATAATAGGTAGCGGGTTAAATATAATATATTATACGATGAATAGTTATATTTAATTTCATATAATTTTTTTTTTGAAATTCATAATTTTATAAATTCCGTAATTATAAATCTCAAAAAAATTCTGTAATTAGATTAGCTCAAACAAATCTCTATTTCAACAACAAAAAAATTATAAATTGAAAAAGAATTTTCTAAATTAATTCAAAATAATAGCTAATTTTTTTAATTAATTCAAAATAATCTATGTTTTATATGCGATTCATTTATGATATTTTAATTTTTGATCTAACTGAAATATATGCGATCCTATTTTGTGGTTGTTAACATAAATTAACTCATTGTTCAAAAAATATTACTTTTTAAAAAATAAAATTATTTTCCGTTTTCATATCTTAAAAAAAAATTATCCATAATTGAGTATTATAAAAAAAATGAGAAATTGTTAAAAATGCCCATTTTTCAATGGGGGATTAGCAAAAATACCCCTTTTCTCATGCCCCTTTTCAAAAATGCCCCTTTTAGATGTCCATTTTCAAAAATGCCCCTTTTTAAATCTGAAATTTTTATAAAGTTTTATTAGGTTTATAAGGTACTTATGGATTGTAACTACTACTTGAAGACTCGATCCAAGTATTTATAAGGTTTTATAAGGTGTTTTTAAAGGTTTTACAAGTTATTTTAAAGGATTTTTAAGGTTTTTCAAAGGTTTTACAAGATATTTTAAAGGTTTTTAAAGGTATTTAAAATGCATTTATAAGGTATTTATAAAGTATTTATAAGATTTTAGATACATAGAAATGTAGTTTGTGTATGTTTTAATAATATTACATACATATTTGGGTAAATCTTATATTTTTAAGGGCATTTTTTATAAGGTTTTAAAAAAGGGGTATTTTTGAAAAGTGGCATTGAAAAAGTGGCATTTTTAACAATTTCCCTTTTTCAATACCCCTTTTCAAAAATGCCCCCTTTGAGAGTCCATTTTTAAGTTTGCCCTCTTTTAATTTTTAATGACCATTTTACCCTTATTTGAAACAAAATTAGGTCCACAAAATACAAAATATTTTTTGGCGGGAAAAGTGATCCCGCAATTTTTCCCGCCAAAACACTTGTAAAAACTTGTAAAACCTTTAAAATACCTTGTAAAATTTTCCCGTAAAATTCTTTCCCGCCAAAAAAAATTTTTTGCAGGAAAAGTGATTCCGCAATTTTTTTGGCGTTAAATTTTTGGCGGGAAAAATTTACAAGGTATTTTAAAGGTTTTTTACAGGGTATTTATAAGGTTTTACAATGTATTTTAAAAGGTTTTACAACGTATTTATAAGGTATTTATAAGATATTATAAGATTTTACAAGCTATTTTATAAGGTTTTACAAGTTTTTTATAAGGTTTTACAAGTTATAAATACCTTATAAAACCTTATAAGTACCTTGTAAAACCTTTTAAAATACATTGTAAAACCTTACAAAACACTTGTAAATACTCTGTAAAACCTTTAAAATACCTTGTAAATTTTTCCCGCCAAAAATTTTCTCGCCAAAAAAATTGCGGAATCACTTTTCCCGCAAAAAAAAAAATTTTTGGCGGGAAAATTTTTTACGGGAATATTTTACAAGGTATTTTAAAGGTTTTTACAAGTGTTTTGGCGGGAAAATTGCGGGATCACTTTTCCCGCCAAAAAATATTTTGTATTTTGTGGACCTAATTTTGTTTCAAATAAGGGTAAAATGGTCATTAAAAATTAAAAAAGGGCAAATTTAAAAATAGACTCTCAAAGGGGGCATTTTTGGAAAGGGGTATTGAAAAAGGGTATTTTTAACAATTTCTCTATAATATATTAAAACTTAGTTCTAATATATATATTATATAAATTTTGTAATAAATAAAATTCAACCCGTACTTTAGTACGGGTGATGATCTAGTAATTCATAAAGTGCATAAACAAAATTAAAAATTTCCCAATTTGTTGTTGAGGTATATACGTTGAATGAACTTGGAATTTGTCACATTATATTATGATTTTGCAAAAAAATAAGGCTGATTGGCCATAATTTCAATTAAAAAAATTGTTGAGGATGAATAATTTTTCGATTCTCGAAATAAAACATTTTGGGAGAATCTATTTCGTGAGTGATCATGAATAAAATATTTAGGATTTTTTGTTTTTATTGAACTATTGAAATCAATCTTCTCTATGAAATGACGAAACAATCAACCGAACTCATTTCAAAAAGTTGTTGATCGGTTCTTTCCTATTTACCGAATAGTTAATTGAACCTCCAAATATTGCTTCGGTTTGGTTCGAAAAACAGGTTCGGTATATAATCTCGTACTTAATTTATATAAATTATGACCATATTTTGGATCATATTTTACAAATTAAGGTTGGTAATGCATTTAATGATAAATCTTTTTTAATACTTACAAATTTACAATTAATGAAATTTTTGAAAAAAAAAGTTGACAAACATCAAGAAAATATAAGAAAAAACAAAAGAAAATATAAGTAAAAACCAAACAAAATATTTATAAATTTAAATTTTAGACATAAAAACTAAAATATGATTATTGATTATTAACTACACAAAAATTTTCTAGGCTAATTTTTAGAGCTCAATATTACGTCATTCTCTTGATGTCAATTGTCAAAGAACTTCCCAAATCTTATATGCAATAAACTCTTCATTAACAAACTAAATAGCGAAACTGGAATATATATATATATATAATTTTAATCCGCTATCTATCAACTCATGAGGTTGCATTGCGATAATACAGCAGGATAAACACAAAAAAATAGATATCAAGAGAATGTCGTCCAATATTGTGAAGGTTGTATTCGCACCATCCGTCCATCCACTACCAAATGTAGCGGTAATGCTAGATTGCAAATGTTAATACAGCCGCCAGCATTGGTGAAAGCGATGCGGGTGACGAAGTACGAGAAAAATAAAGAGGATGGAAGTATCAAATAGGTAGTGTTTTTTTTTTATCAAAGGGTTTTCATTTTATTTTACTTTTTATAAGCATAAAAATGACACAAATAATGGTCCAAGCCCTACAAAATAATAACATAATTTAGGAGCAACAGTTTCCCGAGGAGATCATTCGGAGGTTAATCACAACAAGCAGCTGCACCGCCTTCGCTACCCGTCTAGAGCCGAACGTCTTCGCACCACTGCCACCATGCCGCCTTCGCTAGCCATCCACGTAGTATTTTATTTTATTTTTTTATTTTATTTTGTATGAAATTGATCGATGAGATTTATTGACTAATTACACAATAATTTTTATACGTATATGCATTTTGGGCTTTTGGAAAACACTAGAAAGATGTTGTGTAGTCAATATTTGATGCTAAATAGTATATATGAAATAATAGTTGTGATGGTATTGTTTATTTAAATTTTTTTTGGGAATCGATTGACAATTATTATTTTTGATTTAGTAATAAACTAAGTAGAACGAAAAGTTAATTAGAAATCCGCTTTCCGTTTCGAAATTATAGTCGCAATTGAACCTCTATTTCATGACGCTCCCAAAAAAATAACTTTTTAATCACATTGGAAGCTTGTGATTCTATTCAAAATAGTAGATAAATACTAAATAGTAATAACTTCAATATTTTTTGGTTCCAAAAATATAATTCTATGAAACTGACTTTTTAATCCTTTCTAACTTTAACAAATCTTTCTAATTACAATCCTATAGTTTTGAAGAGGGAAAATTCCATAATTTGATTTCTACAAATATACATGAATATTTGGCCTATCTAGAAAAATACACTAACTATTTTTATTTATTTATTTTAATACTCATCATTTGAACTGTATACTCACATTACAACATATACGAAAAACATTAACCAAATAAAAAAATTTCATCTTTTTTATTTTCTCAAGGTTACAAAAATTAGAGTTACATATCTGAGAGTTATTTTAAATTTGAAATTTCCTAACTTAATAGGAAAAATCTTTAAACATATACGTTAAATTAATTTTCGTAATTTAAAGTTAGAAACTAAAAGAAATAACAAACAATGTTTGTATATTTTTCTAGATACGAAAAATTCGTGTATTTTAAATTTTGATGGAAATCGAAAAATTGTTTGTTTGTTTGTATTCCCTTTTCAAAAATAACAGATTGCAAAGAGTTTTGAATTCAATAATAGTTTTTAAAATAATTTAAAGTATAACTATATTAATTTATTTTAGCATGCATTATTAAACACCTGAAGAAAAATTTCAAAGATTATACGATATGACAGAGAAAAAATATATCAATAAATGTTTTCGATTTTGAAGTAACAAGAAAAAAAAATCAAAATTAAATCAACCTATCCTCGCCGGATCTCTCTCTCTCTCTTCTCTCATTACAGAATCTCTCTGGCGGCGTAACCGTAACGAGATCTACGAATATTCTCTTGCCGTTTCTTGTACACAAATCCGGCGACTCCAACCACACAAACCGCCGCAATCGCTCCGAAAGCAACCCCAACTTTCTTCCCGCCGCTCATTCCTCCACCGCCTCCCGACGATGATTTTTCCCCTTCGATTCCTTTAATATCGCTGTGATTCAAATCGCTAGCTTCAGGCGACGGAGACGGAGAAGCAGACGAAGAAGGAGATTGAGAATCATTCGGTAACGGCGGAGAGATCGATGGAGAGTTCACCGGAGAAGGTGATGGAGATGGAGAGTGTTTTGTTTCAGGCTCTGGAGGAGAAGAGTATTCAGTTGGAGATTCCGCTGGTGAATGAGGAGATCCGATTGTCGGTGGTGGTGGTGCGTGGATTAAAGGCGAATCTGCAGCGTCGATTGTTAGATCCGGTGACGGAGCCGGTGAGGATTTAGTTAAAATCTCACCGGAGACGAGTACGAGCATTAGCATCATAGCAACAATGGTGAATTCGAGCTTCATTTTCAAATTTTTTTTCTCAGATCTTTTTCTGAGAAGTTGTGATGATGATGAGTAAGTAAAGAAGAGAGATCTGTAGAAGAAGGAGAAATAAATGAATATATTACGATCGATAGATTTGCGGCTACGAAAAGTGTGATTGTGACACGTAGGATACGTATGGAAATAGTGAAAGGTGCGAAACACTGGATCTAGTTATGTTGGTTATTTTAAAAGAGAGGCTTCGCGGTTAAGGAAAATGTGAACCGTAGCGAGAAGTGATGCGTGAAATCGGCACGTGGGGTTCAAGTGAAGAGCTGACCTTCACGTTCTCTTATTCATTCGTTGAGTTTAATATTAAGGGGAAATCAAATCAGTCACCAACTTCGTTTGGGTGTTAAAAGTAAAAAAAGAAAGTTATTCGCATTTCTCAGACTTTTAACCAGAAGAAAACTTTTTATTTAACAAAATTTATTTAGCAGCATATAAAGTTTACATGATTGTACACTATAAGATAAAAGTAGAAAACTGCGACAAAAAATATCTCTCGCACATTTGCAAGGGACATGTTCATCACAAATTTAAGAGGACATTGCATGAAATTTGGTAAGACACAAACATTTCTTGTAAATACGTCGCAAAAATTGCGAGGAACTAGCGAGGACCTGTTCCGGAACAAAATTTGCGAGTTAAGTCTAGCAAATTTCTTATAAATCAGAGTTCTCTAAAAAATCCTTTGCAAAATTTTCTAGCAACTCCCTAGCAAAAATCATAACTCAAAACATATACAATCTATTTACAAAAAAAAAAATCTAATAAAAAAAATTTATGAGGTGGAGAGCATGATATCTACACATTGCGACGATGGATGTACATTCATAGAGATCTGGAGACCGGTGATGTGGCGAAAGAGTTTTACGATGTTTTGCACGGTTTCATGTACCAAGTGACAAACGAATCATTTGCTCTTGAGAACGGTACAATATTATGTCCATGTCGTAAGTGCTTCAACGATAAATATTTGGATTTTAATTTAGTGAAAAAACATCTATATAATAAAGAATTTATGTCAAACTATTATGTATGATTACGTCATGGGAAAGTTATAGAGATATCGCATGAAGTAGTAGTACGAATTATGGTGTCGATCAGCCTAGTAATTATAATTATGCGAATTATGGTCATCAAGAATTTGATCAATTTGGTTATGGATATAACTAAGAAAATAGATTTCATAATATGGTTACAGATACATTTTATGAAAGTAGCGTTGTAGTTGGTAATATGTTAGATGATGCAAATCAACCCCTCTGCAGCATGAAGCATCCTCAGCCCATGATCACCGCCTCCTCGTGATGATCTGGTTTTTCTATCTTAGAAGTTTGATGTCGCTGAAGCTTGTCTTTCAACTCAGACAAAGAAGATCCATAGTTTCGAGGCCTGGTGGTCATTTGTGGTGGAGACTTCTAACTGTGAGCATTTGGTCGTTGATCAAGGTCTATCTCCCGGGAAGGCTGTTACTGCTAAAATACAGAGGAAGGCTAAGTGGACGCTCATTGTTTGTCTCTCCATCAGTTAAGGGTGGTGTTCAACCCAACCAATATTCAGTGAAGAAAGGCTTAGGTTCAGGCTTTTCTCTGGTTTTATTAGCTGGTTTAAGTTCAGTTTTAGATGACTTAAGCGGGCTGTAGTCTTCGGTCTTTTGCGCATCACTCTACATGCATATCATTCACTTGATGGTCCTCTTACGGCGTAGAGAAGACTATGAGTTTTCCAGTGGTGTTCTTCAAGCATATGCTGTTGTCGTAGCCGGCATGGTTCCCATGAGCTGGCATTTACTTTATCTAGTTGTCGTTGTCTTTGTCCTTTCGGCATATCAAGCTCTCTTGAAAGATGCAGATTTCCCAGAGGATGATGTTGAACTTCGTGTGGTAAACACAAAGCCACTAAAACATGCAGAAATTGTAATGGATGTTGTTATAACATCACTAGAGCTACAAGTGGGGTTTTTACTAAGAATACTAAAGCAACTTATGGAAATTGGATACCTTCCGAGATAAATGTAGCTAAAATTAGGCTTTGGATACTCTATAGTCGGAACTTTCAGAGGATAATGACATTGTGCACACTAGTGTTGAGCTTGCAATCCTCTGTGTTTTTAGTTCGACAAGTTATATTGTCGCAGAAAATTGTTAGTTTGTACCTTTTGGGGATATACCCGCTCACATGGCTATGGATGATAGTCTTGACTATCAAGGAAAGTAAATCTGGACGCTATTTGTCTATCTCTCCATCGGTTAGGGGTGAGTCCTCACCTCATGCTCTCACCAACCTATACGCTTTAGGGAAAGGCTTAGCTAAAGGATGTACACTGATTTTTTTTGCTGGAGTTGGTAAATTTCTTGATGAATTTAGGGGATTGTGGGCAGTCTTGTTATCTGTATCAGCCTATCTTTATATTCTACACGTTGCTTACATCTATCGGAGAAAGGAGGATTTTGATATTTGCAGTGGCTTTCTCCAAATATGTTTTACCTTTTTCTGCGGCATTTGTCCCACCATATGGCATTTGCTGCCTCTGACTGCCCTTACCCTGATACTATCAGTATATAATTCTATCCTAAAAGATGGGGCTTTCCCACCGCCACCAACGAATGATGTAATGCCCACTGTAACTGGACATGAGAAAGAGGAGGTTGAACGTGAGAAGGAGGAGGTTGAAGCTGGATTGGAGGTGATTGCTTATGTTTTCTTTATATATTGCAATCCCAAAAGGTTGTTTTTTTTTTGGTCTAGAAAACAATAAAGGGACCTTTGAAAAGATTGAGAAATTGGTGGGCAATACTAGAAACATCATGGTCATGACTCATGGTGGCTATTTTGTTTACTACTTTGACTATGTATATTCAAGATGAAAAGAGCCAATTTATTGTACAAATAATGATCAGTGGTAAGAAACAATTTAGGAGAATGAAAAGAATGTCAAAACAATTTTTCTTTGTTTGAAAATATGGATGTTATTACTAAGCAATATGATCTCACAAATTATAGAAAATTTATTTTGTTTCGGTGACTATACACTTCATGTTTGTATTTCAAACACGATAGATGTTATAAGAAAAAGACCGTTTCAATGAAAAATGTATGCTATCATATAACTGAAATTTACCTAGAATGACTCTAATCTTAGCTAAAATAACTCAAATGACACAGCGTTCATTTGGTTTACTAGACTAACCCCTATTTTTGGTAAAAAGTCTAATTAACCTTTTTGAGTCATATAAATAACAATTATGCCATTATTTTAAATAAAACAAAAAAAAAGAAATAAAACTAATATGTAAAGAAAACAAAACATTTTTCCTAAATCATTTGCTTTCCTAAAACGCAAAAACGACATTTATTCTCCCTCAGTCCCTCTAGTCTCCCACGATTTCTCTAAAAAAAAACCTAGAAAATCTTAAGTCGCCGCCGAGTCTCCGCAGAATCTTCCCTCGCCGCCGAGTCTCCGTCATTGATTCACCGTCGATAGTCCTAATCTTCCATCCAAATGCATGTCGAAAGCTTCGCTCGCCGTGGAATCTCCGTTGGTCGTTAAGTCGCCGTAATTGCTTTCTTCTCCGGTGATTTTTCTTCGCCGGCGACTCATAAACTGGCGAGACCTTTTGGTTTCCTTTGCCCTTTGTTTCGATCTAGGTAGGTAAACTCTTAAACGTGGTGCTCTTGTTTTTGATTTTTGTCCTTTTTCGATTGAAGATTTTGAAATCTGATTTTGATAATGAAACTTCTTTTTTTTGCAGATCTAGAGATTTGTTTCCTTGGGCTGCTTCTTAGTTTATTTTTCTAGTAAGAATTTTGGCCCATTTCATCGGAATACTTGTAGAGATATATACAACTGACGATTTCAAAATCGTATTTTGATTAGTTTAACTTGTTTTTCTTGCAGATATTTAGCATCACTTCCATCCGTGTCTTCACAAGTTATTATTCCGGTAATGATATAGGACAATTTCATCTGAAATGTTTTTAAAAAAAAAATTCCCGCGAGTTTTATTTTTTCAGGACCGATTTTAAGTTTTTGTTATCGCAGAGTTGTTCAATGTCTTCATTTTATTTAGTGACAGAGTTTTTTTGAAATTTGGTTGCCAATCTCACAAGGCACCGAAAGTCGTCTTTAGTTAAAAGCTTTAACAATCATGTTTTTGTTTTTTTTGTTTCTGTGATTAGGAATGGCGTCTTCTAGTCAAATCCTCAAGTACCCTCCTCGACTGTATGAAGAAGGAAAATCACCTTTGCAAAATAGGAGCATGAACCACAGCTGCTATTTTTCTCAAATTGCGAAGATCAGAGAAGGTTTAGGTCCGGATGTGTGGGAGGATTTGATGAAATCAACGCTTGGAGTGTTTTTAAAATTGACTGATGCTGAATACATATGGGCTGCCCAGACCGTTCATTACTTCCTCTCAAATCAGCTGCGAGTCGACAACGATCACGAGATTTGGTGTTTGATTGATCAAATGCCTATCAGATTTTCTCTTTATGAATTTGCGGACGTAACGGGGCTCAACTGTGATGTTATTGACGAGTCAGACACATGTCAGGCTGCTTACCATGAGTTCTGGAATGAAATGGGTGTTGGAACGTCCGATGGTCCTTTGTTTACTGAGTTGGAGCATGTAATGGATATTAGCAAGGCATGGAATAAAGAGAAGAGGTTGATGGTTGGTAGGTTATGCTTGTTATCTGTTGGAATTCATGGGATTCATCACGGTTCTAGAATCCCGTTGTCAAGTGCTAAAAGAGTTCTTGATCCAGTTGCTTTTGAGAAATATCCTTGGGGTCGTGTGGCATTTCAGTCCCTAATTAAGGCAGTGAAGATTGTTGATTTAAAGCAATATACTTATGTGATTCATGGATGCGTCCACGCCTTGTTGATATGGATTTACGAGAGTGTGCCTGGATTGGCAGCAAGATATGGATTTAAAAGGGAAACAACGACAGGTACTCCATTACTTGATTGGAGATCTTCTCGCAAACGTATCAAGTTTAAAGACTTTATTGCCAATGAGAAGACTGCCCATGGACAGGTATTTTAACATGCTGCAGCTTTTCTCTCTAATGTTTTATTTACTTATTTGGCTTCAGTTTTTTTCTCTAGTATAACTAGTTAACATGATTCTGTTTTTAAATAAAGAATGAGACTTGATTTTATTAAAAAAATCTCAAACTGTTTTGCATTTTTGATGATCTAAAAAAATGGTTTAATTATATGTGCAGGTGCGTGTGAGGCATATGATTCCAGTCACTGAGGAAAACATGTATCCTAAGTGGAGTGACGCGGCTGACAATCAAGATGGGCTGCTTGACAACTTGCTGAAAGACATCATCCACAATCGTTTACAAAATGATGCGTGGAAACATGTTAGAGTGCAGAGGAAGAAACGTAAAGTTTCTAGAAACGAGGATGGAGAGAGTAGTATCATTCCTAAGGAAAAGAGAATGAAGGAGTCAAAAGCTAGTGATGATGAAAGAGCAGAAGTATCTAACAAGAAGCATAAACCAAGAAAAGAACATATGGTGGTCCACTGTTCTTCTCCTTTTCATTAACATTCAATTTAAATGTCTATATTATTGATAGTGATTCAACTTATACCATTATATGATTGATTTCAGGTTGATGAAGAGGAGAAGACTAGGTTGTTGGATATTTACAAGATGCTGGAGAATTTGAATGGGACAGTTTCAGAGATGAGCAAGAATCTGACCAGCATAATGGATGTATTGGAGAGTAAAGTCGAGTCTTTAGATGCCCAGCTTAATAAGAGGTTTGAAGTTGTGGAGACAGATTTGAAGCTTCTTAAGGAGTCTAATCCCACTGTTGTGCCCAATGATTTCGTCGCCACTTCCAACAACGTTGAATTAGATGAGGCAAATAGTAAATCAGCTGTAAGTTTATTTTGTTGTTCAAGAACAATTCTTTATAAAACTTTGTCTCTTTCCTATTTTTTGTATGAATTATTTTGCTAATGAATCCTATATGTGATTGTTTTTTTCCAGTCTTGGATAGTAGAGGAGAAGCTAGGGTCTCAAGATGGGCTGCCTGTCAAAAGAGTAGTTAAGAAGGCTGTCTTTACCGTGAAGACCAAGAAAAAGAAGGCTGGAGAAGTGTCAGAGGATCTTGTTCTATGTGAAAAGAAACCTGCTACAAAGGGACTTACAAGGAAAAAAGTGGCAAACGTGCCTAATAAAGGTTTTAAAAAGCCTGAGCAGAAGAAGATAGCTGCTCCAAAAGGTGTGAAGAAGACAATGAGGACTGTTGACGATGATGTTGAGGATGTAACTGACAAAGTTATGGCTGATAATCTGAAAATGGTTTCAAGTTCTGAAGAAACCTTCTCCAATCCTCAAGATGAGATGGCTAATACGACTTTGAATGCAGCATTGACATCTCTTCTACATGGAGTACAGAATTTGGACGGTGGGACTACTCATGGGAGACGTGTGCCACAGCTTGCGGGTTCTCAAAAATGTCCCTATGTTGGGAATTCTACAGTGAAGCGCATAATCACTGATGCTCCACCTTCTTCATCATTACCAGAACATCTTCAACCAGTTTCTGATGAGAAGTTTCTTCGTTTAACTGATTGGCTAGAACGTGATGAGTAAGTTTCTGTTTACCAGAACATCCACATATCCTGTTTGCTTTTCTCATTTTTTGTTTTCTTTTTCAGGGACGAAGAACCATTTAGTACCAGCAATTTCAATGCCAGATTCTTTCGCCAGATTATTACTCCAAGAGATAGTTGGCCAGATGAAAAATATGGATGGTTAAAAGACTATGTAAGTACTGTTTATTGTTTTCAGCTTTGTATATTGATTTCAGCTTTGGATATTGATTTCAGCTTTGGATTCTGTTAATCAAAAATGTTTGTAATTCACGTCTCTAACTTTGTTTTTTATTTTACTGCAGCACATGGCAGCTGCAATGTCTTTGTTCCGCAGAAGGTTCTTGCGTGATCCTTCAAAATACCCTAATCAACGCATCGCTTTCTTGGATCAAGATTTGATCTCGAAGTTGTTGAAAGATTATCCACAGTTTGACCCGAACTATAGGAACTTCACATGGCGGAGCTATTATGAGCAACACGTCAACGGCACAACTTATGGTGACGATGATACAAACAAGATGTGGTTCGTTGATGTGGATCACCTCTATGCGTATCTCTTCGTCAATGATAATCACTGGGTGGCCTTGGATATTGACTTGCCGAAACTTCAGATCAACGTTTATGACAGCATTCCGACCTCGACTACTAATCCACAACTAGTCGAGCAATGCATGTTTTTAAAGAGGATGATACCTGCTATGTTGAGCGCATTTGTCCCTGTACACAAGCGTAAGAAGAGCTACGCAAGGTTGGGAGTTAAGAGAATTGAAGACATCCCCAAGAATGACGATGCAGGCGATTGTGCTATCTACTCGATAAAGTACATCGAATGTTTGGCGCTTGGGAAGTCATTCGATGGCTTCTGTGACAATAACATGCAGTCCCTCCGGACAAAACTTGCTGCAGAGATGTTTGACGAACTAGGAGAGAATGCCGGAACACTTAGCTCTTATGTTCGTCGCACGTACTTCCCTATACCTCAGCTCGATGATTCCTAGTTGCTTTGTTTCTGTTTTCTCAGACTTTTCTATTTAGGTTATGTCTGTTGTTTCAGACTTTTGCTTTTTTTGGAATCTTTGGTTATGTTGGTTGTTTCAGGTTCATGACATTTTCTATGTTGGTTGTGTCAGACTTTTCTTTGTTACTTATGTCAGACTTCTTTACCAAACCAAATGCATCTCTGCCTTTGAAGCGGACTAGTATATTCTTGTACAAATGATATGTACAAATTCCCCTGGAAGATTTAGGATAAACCGTCCGTATAGCTTTTCCGATGGATTGGTGCCTATCAGAAATAATGGCAAGACTTTCATCATCTGGTATGACACTGCTGAGTTGTTTAAAAAACAATTCCCATGATTCATCATTTTCAGTATCCACAACGGCAAAAGCTATCGGGTATATCTGAAAATTACCATCTTGCGCTGTTGCTGTAAGAAGTGTCCCTAAGTATTTTCCCTGTAAAAAAGTACCATCAACAACAACCACTTTCCTCATGAAAGGAAATCCTAAAATACTTGCACCAAACGCAAGAAACAAGTACTTAAATCTGTGAGTTTCATCAACTTCTAGTCGCGTGAAGGTTCCTGGATTTTCCCTCCTTAACATGTACAAGTATACCGGGAGCTGCTCGTATCCACTTTCTGGACTACCCCTAACCAATTCTCGAGCAGATCTTAATGTCCGATAAGCCTTCCAGTAATCCATCTAACCAAATGTAATTTAAATAGTTATTTAAAGGAAACAATGACGTGTAACTGGTCCAAAAAAACTGATCAATGTATTGGTAATCGTACCTTGATTTGCCATCGTTTATTCAAAGCTTCAGCAACGTGCATTGGCAGAACCTTGGGTCCAATCCCACCTACGTAATCTTTGTATAGCATTCCTAGTATATCGTGAGTAGCTTGTCGGGAACGTGATGAGCGATCTGTAACAGAACAAGTATGTTCCGAAACAAACACTCTTACTTGAAACTTTGGATACTCGTCAACTGGTGTTGCTCGCACCCTCCACTGACACCCTTTAACCCAGCACTTGACAATTAATATTGTTGGAGTCGATTTAGCAACATCAAAGTTAAATTTCTGTAAAACGGTAAGTATCTTCAAACGTGTCTCCAAGTCTTCTTTTGTTTCAAAACATTGACCAACCGCCAATTCCAATGAGGACACTTCTAGCGTAGCATAAGTAGCTTCTTCCTTTTCTTCTTCTATGTATACACCTAAACTCCTCTTCTTGATTGGTAATTTAGGTTTTTCTTCTTCTTCCTCTGGTGGAATCCCATAGAGGCTAAAGTTCTCATCATCAGAGTCGGTGCCGTCGGAATCATCACAGTAGTCAAATCTACTTTCGTCATCGTCACCATCTTCAGCTGCATTCACTACGAGAATATGACGCATTTATAGCATAAGAATATAGCAGTTAACGCTGTTTTGCTATGATTGACAAACACCGTAATATGTTATAGCGTTTGGTAAATTTTAAACGCTATACTTTATTACTCGGAGAAATAAAAGGACGCGGGTCAATATTTTTGGATTTAGGTTTAATATTTGATAGCACTATTTTAGATTAAACGCTATGTAATCTATTAGGGGGTAATCATTAAAAAATGCCCGCCTCTTAAAAAAAAAATTTGTGGGAAAAAACGCAAAATTTGCCTAAGGCACAGAGACTCTTCACTGTTCTCCATTCTTTTCCAATCTCGATTCTTCAGCTCCGTTCGTCGATCGCTTGTTTTCCGTCCTACTTCCGACGACGATAACCAGGAGAATCAGCCTCCATTACCCGGTCTCCTCGCCGATAAGATCACCTCCTGCATCCGCAAATCGAAGATTTTTATCAAACCCTCCTCGCCTCCTCCTCCTGCTATCACCGTAGACATGGCACCTCCGATTTCGTGGAGGAAAGGTCAGTTAATTGGTCGCGGTGCGTTCGGTACGGTGTACATGGGTATGAATCTCGACTCCGGGGAGCTTCTCGCCGTTAAACAGGTAATTTAGGGTTTGGTTTTCTGAGTTCGGTGGATTTGAAGCTAATTGGGAATTAAATTTGAATAACCTAATCCTCTCGCAGCCTATTCTGTTGAAATCTGTACTGATCTTCAAAAGCTTTATTCTACTCAGGTTCTGCAGCCAATTTTGCTTCCAAGGAAAAAACTCAGGTTCCAATTCATTTATGGTTTATACTGATTCTTTTGTTGTTGTTGTTACGTATCTACTTCATTGAGGGCCTGTTCGGAGAAGAGTCGCAGCGACTATCTCTGCGACAGCTCAAAACGACAGTGACGGAGGTGATTAACAAAGAAAACGACGACACACATGCAAAACGACAATGACGGAGCAGTCGCTAGAGAAAGAGAAAGCTGTCGCTGAAGATAGAGGGGAGTCGCCAGAATTTCTAGCGACCGTTGCCGCAGCTCATTTCAACAGATCCGGCGACTCGTTTCAACAAATCCGGCGACTCCTTTGAAAAATTATCACTCCATCCACGTTTATTTGCCGTCGCTGTCGCTTGTCGCAGCATCTCTTAAACGAACATGGCCTGAGTTTTCCCTTTTTCAACTTCCATTGATTTTTGTACTTCATTGAATTTGTTTTCTGTGTTGGTGCTAAGTAGGCTCATATTCATGAGCTTGAAGAAGAAGTTAAGCTTCTTAAAAATCTCTCCCATCCAAATATAGTTGTAAGTAACCGTGGCTATTGTCTTCTTCTCAATACATATGGATCCAGCACTTCCTCTTGTTATCTAACTCAGGTATTTATTTTTTCCTTGCCTTTAGAGATATTTGGGTACAGTGAGGGAAGATGATACGCTGAATATCCTTCTCGAGTTTGTTCCCGGTGGATCTATATCAATAAGTCATGCTTGGATTTAGTTTTTTGATCTCTTAGTCTCTTATACTTTTACTGATTTTTTTTATAGTATCGCATTTCTTAGCAAAATTTATGAGCTTACTCACTTAATTAGATGTATACATAATAATCGGTGGCCTGATCATAGTGGAAGTGTTCTGATGTAGTCTTATTTTTGATATTATTTTATTGGCAGGACAAAAGAGCCGAAATGGAACGAAAACTTTGTTTTTAATATCAAGTTGCCTCTTGCAAAAAAGATAGAGGTAGAAATGTTTCAACTATTGTGGCTGGACAAATACCTTCTAATATATAAAGCCTTGCCCGACTTCCCAAAAATTGTTTAATGAGCTTCAGATTGCAGCTTGGGATGCAAACCTTGTTACCCCACATAAACAGATGGGGAATTCCGAAATCAACCTGGAATGTGTTTGTGATGGTAAGAATTTGTTCACCCATTCATTATCAATTTATTTTTACAAATTTGAGTTAAAAATGAGGAATAAAGTCTGTGTTGTTGTTGTTGAGTATAGGTTTTTAATAGTCAGAATTTCTATATTCACTAACAAGAACTAAGATTGGAATCTTATTTTCATGGGTGAAACAGATTGGAATGTTCTGCTACAGTGACCCGCAATGGCCGTATCAGGTACTTCACTTTCTCCTGATTAGAAATCTTTGAGTTCACATTCAATGCAATCCATCCTAATCATTGAGGCTCTTGATGTTTGGTTGCAGTATGGCTGGTGTTACGACAGGAAACGTGGGATACCTTGCGAATGCTATACATGAAGTCACCCAAGGTTTGGGTGGAAGTGTCAAAGGTTGGAGATGCAGCTGTGTGAAGACCAAACTCTGAAATTCAAACCATTGCCGATGGAGTAGGTAGTATTGTGGCTTGGCCTAATGATAAAATCATGTATGTCTAAACATAATCTTGTTATTTTGGTGAATTCAGTACTTGCTAAGGCATGATCATGTGACATGAGTACTTACATTGACATGTTTATCTAATATAAATTTCATTTTGTCTTTTTAAATTTGTTTTATATAATATTAATTTGTAAATAATTTGATCAAAACAGAATTGGAACTGGAAATGGATGGTCACATATTGCACCAAAACAAAATGCCATTAATTGAAACAATTGCAGTTTAGTAACTGCTATTGTCATTTTATATGTAGCAAAATAAATATGCTGTCAATAATAGTATTTAATATCGAATATTAAGCGCTATTATATTATTAATTATTGCATAAAGGAAATCGCTGTAATAACGAACTTTTTGGTAGCATAACAAAAAACCGCTATAATTTGTCTCCGACCTATTATGACGGGCGATGATAGAGCGCTTGTTAAAACGCTACAGTAGAGTTATATAGCGTTATTCGGGCGCTACAGATGCTTCATTTTCCTGTAGTGATTAGTCACTTGTTCTTCTTCGACGTGTGTATTTGGTACATGAATATTTTCCTCTACCATACCGTATACATTACGTGGCTGTGTATTCGGCAAATTGCAGTTACCGAAACCACCTATGCCTTCCTCTTTTGATTCAACAGGAACTTTCTCTTTCACTTCAACACAAAGTCGAACCGTAGCATTCTTCGTTTGGCCCAAAAAAGACTGAAACTGTCTATTGTTACCAATAATTACGGGTGGTGTATCTGCTGGTAATTTCTTTGAACTTGAGATCTTGTAACTCAAAACAACTTCGACTACCCTGTTATCCAAGCCGTAGTCCTCATACACCATTGGAATGAAATCATCATAACTGGTTTGACTGTTACCTTCGAGTACGCGACAACCTTTACTATTATCAACGACAAAAAGCCACTTCGTTTTCTCAAAGATCCATTTTCCACACACAAGAATCACCTGATCCATGCCCAATTCCTTGGACTTCGATCTCACAGCAATCAAAAGGAAGAAAAACAAAAAAAAAATATGGAACGACACTCAAATAGAAGGAGAGTGATGAAATCGTGAGGGATCAAAAAGAGAACAGAAACAATTGAAGCAAATTTGATCCGGAAAAGGAAGAAAAATAAAGGATGAAATCGTGAGAGGGTGGGTAAGCGTAAAAGAAGAAGAAAAAACAGAAACCGTTTCTGGAGCAAAAACCCTAGAAGAATACTCCTTCTCTAATTATTAGGAATTTAATGCATTAAATGTCAATTATGGCAATAATTTGTATAAATCTGTCAGAGATAATATAAGTCTGTCGTAACTAAACGAAATCAAACCGGTTTAAACATACAAGCAAACCGGCAATATTTGGAGTTCTGTTGAATTTGAGGCTAGATAATAAATCTCAAGTAACACGATATTTCGAAATTTCAAAAACAAATCTGCCAACAAAAGTCTGTCAGCACTAAAAAGGTTATTCTAGTTAGAAACAAATCGGCCATAACATGACATGAGAAAATCTGTTATGCTTAGGGTCCAAAAAACAAAACTGTCATAACTAAAAACAAATCTGTTATCACTATGCGACTGTTTAGTAATTATATATTTTTTAAAAAAACCTGCTATAAAACGCCAGATTTGTCAACAAATAAAGAAAATCTGCGAGTACAAAAAACAACTCTGTCATCGTTATATATCAACTTTTTGTGTTTAAAAATCTGTTATAAGGCGACAGTTTTTTTTAAAAATCCAAAAATCTGTTGCCAAAACAAAGAAAAGTCTGCGGTTGGAAAACAAATCTGTGGCAGATTTATTTTATAACCATTCAAAATCTTAAAATTTTAGGAAAATCTGTGGATACAACATACAACAAATCTGTCGCGAAAAAAAAATCTGCGGAAAAATATAAATCTATCATTACTAAATCAAACAAAGTCTGTGGTACAAAAAAAGTCTGTCGAAGAAAGTCTGTGGTGGATCAAATAGTCTGTCGTACTAAATAAATCTGTCGCAACAGGAGCCACAGATTTTATAAAAACGAGAGTGGCAGTATCGTAAATAAATTGTATTTTTTTGCCATGCTGGAATTAAATATTAATGGCATTCCTGTAATATGTTTTTTCTCTACAAAGCAAAACAGGGACATTTTAGTCATAAATATTACTCATATAACCCATATTTTTGGTATGCCATTCTAGTAATTAAACACAAATTATGGGTCACTCTAGTAAATTTCCCATCATATAATTCACCAGAAGATTACATTTTGAAAAATGCTCAGCTAATTTTAAGCTTGTCATTTCCACCAACTCCACCTTTCTTAGAATAATGGGAGTATGGACATTGTGGTTTTGTGCAAGAATGTTAAAATTATAATTTAGTGGTAGATTATATAAAATTATATTTCCATCGATGTAGACCAGCCTCCCTCGCCACCTGCAGTTCAAAATTCAGAAGATGCAGTTCAAAATTCAGAAAATGCAGTTCAGATTTCAGTAAATTTAGAAAATGCAGCTCCAAATTTAGAAAATCCATCTACGAACCTGCAAGATCATGTCTCGTCGATTCCATCTTCTGCAGTCAACATACCAACACGTGCAGCATCAAATAAACAAGTTGACGTACTCACAGACATTTCCTCGGCTGACCATGCTTCGCCGGTTGATGCCGTTATCGTCAACACAACAAAGCCATCATCTTCAACAGCTGCAGATTCTAACCCCGAAACAGAGCAACTTGGTTTCGGTTTTAAGAAGAAACAACCACCCGTGAAGCTCGCCGATTATGTCACTTCTCTCATTTACACACTGTCACCATCTGCAACACCTTATCCGATTGACAATTTTGTTTCTAGCTCACAATTGTCTGACACATATCAAGCTTACTTGTTCGCTATAACCTCAGGGAATGAACCAAGAAACTATCAAGAGGATATTGTTGATGAAAACTGGCGGTATGTACTCAAAGACGAAATCGAAGCTTTGGAAGAGAATGGTACTTGGACTGTTGAAGACCTTCCACAAGGCAAGAAGGCCATTGGTTGCAAATGGGTCTTCCGCCTCAAATTCAATGCGGATGGCACGCTTGAACGCCACAAAGCTCGCCACGTGGTTCTTGGCAACAATCAAAAGGAAGGCATTGACTATTCTGAAACCTTTGCGCCGGTAGCTAAGATGATCACAGTTCGAGCATTTCTTCAACAAGCCGCGTCTTTAGATTGGCAAGTTCACCAAATGGATGTTTACAATATGTTTCTTCACGGTGATCTCAATGAGGAAGTATACATGAAGTTTCCTCCTGGTTTTCGCACGAATGATGACACTAAAGTTTGCCGCCTACGCAAGTCTCTCTACGGTTTGAAACAGGCTCCTAGATGTTGGTTCGCGAAACTTGCAGTTCTGCTTTGAAATCGTATGGTTTTGAGCAAGACGTCTCTGACTATTCTCTATTTATCCTAGCAAAAGGTGATACTAGACTACACGTTCTAGTTTATGTTGATGATTTGATCATCACGGGAAGCTCCATCCACATCGTCAACGAATTCAAGCATTATTTGAGTACGTGTTTTCACATGAAAAATCTGGGAATTTTGCGTTATTATATTTCTTAGGCATTGAAGTGGCTTGTAGTCTAGCTGGGATTTATTTGTGCCAACGTAAATATGCTCTTGAGATCATTGCCGAAGCAGGTCTTATGGGAGTAAAGCCAATTACTTTTCCATTAGAACAAAATCACAAGTTGTCTCTTGCTAAGGATGGTGTTTTTCCTGATCTTACTCGTTATAGACGTCTCGTGGGTCGTCTTATATACTTAGGGAACACACGACCAGAGCTCTCATACGCCATTAACATTTTGTCTCAATTCATGAACGAGCCACAACACGCTCATTGGAATGCTGCCCTCCGTGTAGTTCGCTATTTAAAAAATAGTCCTGGCCAAGGTATTTTATTACGAGCTAACACGCCTTTGATCTTGACTGCTTGGTGTGATTCGGATCATTGTGCTTGTCCTCTAACCCAACGTTCTCTTACTGGATGGTTTATACAACTTGGTGACTCACCATTGTCTTGGAAAACATGAAAGCATGATGTTGTGTCTCGTTCTTCGGCTGAAGCTGAATATCGCGCAATGGCCAATACCGTAAGTGAATTATTATGGCTTCGTGAGTTATTGCCAACGCTTGGCATTGAGGTTACTGCCCCTATTACTCTACACTCTGACAGTTTGTCTGCGATTATGCTTGCTGCTAATCCGGTGTTCCATGCTCGAACGAATCATGTCTGTCGTGATGTTCATTTCGTAAGAGATGAGATTATTCGTGGTGTTATAGCTACTAAACACGTCAACACGAAGAGTCAACTAGCAGACATCATGACGAAAGCTTTGGGACGTCAACAATTCGAAGACTTTCTTGTCAAGTTGGGTGTTTGTAACCTACACACTCCACCTTGAGGGGGGTATTGGGCTAAGTGTTATATGGGCTTAGCCTTTCACGTGTTTAATGTCGGTTTACAAGCTAATTAGGTCGAACACCATACTTGTGTTCTCAGCCAATATATAAGGCTATACTTTGTATTGCTTGATTCTTAAGAAATTCAGATTATACTATCAAGGGTTTCTTGACAAGTAGACAAAGCATATGCAGGAGGTAATCACTAATCAGTACTCTTCATATTCTTCTTCTTCTTCTTGTGTGGCTAGCAAGATGCTTACATGAAGTTTGTGTTTGAGATGCATGGAGAAATTTTCAAAGCCTTGGCCATTAGAACGGCATACTTCACAAGACCAACCGGGGTCCTCCTCAAGGTCCTCCTCAAGGTCTCCTGAATCCACTCCATCTGCCACTTGAAATCTTTCCCAGACTAGTCGTTCTATAGGATTAAAGGCGGTTTGAAGATGATCAAATGGTAATTCCCGAATAACGTGGACTCTGTTCAACTCTAGCATGCCAAGATATCCAACGAAGTTCTTCTCACCAGATATAAGCATTAAATTATCCCAAGGTGGTCCAGCCATT